TGTCAGCGTATCCACTGTTAGCGAACACACCCGCTTTAAGGACACTGACTGCTATTCAATCTATAACAGTGAAAAAGATTTTTTTTTTTAAATCCAAGCTATTGACACCAGATCTTAGTGGCACTTGTCACAAATCCACTGTTAGCGAACACACCCGCTTTAAGGACACTGACTGCTATTCAATCTATAACAGTGAAAAAAGTTTTTTGTTTTTAACAATCCAAGCTATTGTGACAATTGTGATGTATTTGGTGGCACTGGATCAGGGGAATGGGCACAGTATGCACTGTGAGCCTGACACAGAAGCTGGCAGCAGTGGCAGACAACTTCTAATTGCTATTCAATCTATAACAGTGAAAAAGTTTTGTTTTTAAATCCAAGCTACTGTGACACCAGATGTACTTGTGGCACTGACTGGGGAAATGGGCACTGTGAGCCTGACACAGAAGCTGGCAGCAGTGGCAGACAACTAAGTGCATTTACATTACATAGAAAAAAAAAATTAAAAAAAAGCATACCCTTATCCCTAACCTAGCTATGCTTTTCCCTATCTTATGAACAGCAGCTACACTTTCCTCCTCTTACTAAGCATGCAGCTTGAGAATGAATCTAAAATGGATGCTGTCCAGTAGGTGGGAGGGTCTGCTAGGGAGGCTGTGCTGCTAATTGGCTGGAATGTGTCTGCTGACTGTGAGGTACAGGGTCAAAGTTTACTCAATGATGACGAATAGGGGGCGGGTCGAACCGCGCATATGTTCGCCCGCCGTGGCGAACGCGAACATGCTATGTTCGCCAGGAACCGTTCGCCGGCGAACCGTTCGGTACATCACTAATTGGAAGCAGCTCCATTTTTTGGGGGCCCCTTACACAGCTCAAGGTCTGGGCCCCAGGGCCTGACGGTGAGTATGCCCATAAGGCCCACTCATAAGTCCACTTATATGTTCCACCCACCCATGAGTTCGCTCACAGGGAATGGAGTGTGTAGGGGATGTGTTATGTGTTATTGTAGAGGATCTAATATGTGTGCTTATGGTATGTAGTGTATAGGGATACCACTTTGTGCAGGTGATGCAGTGTGTTTGTGTGTAGTTGAAGCGGTGTGTATTTGTGTATAAGGGATGTATTGTCTGTTTCTGGTTGTGTGTAAGGGATGCATTGCATGAATCTGTGTTTGTATGCATAAGGGATGCAAGGTGTGTGTTTGTAAGTGTGTGCATTGAGTGTGTGTTAGAGATGCATTGTGTTTCTGTTTGTATGTAAGAAAAGCAGTGTGTGTTTAAGGGTTTGCATTATGTGTTTCTCCTCTCCCCCCTTCACCTCTCCTCCCCCCTTCACCTCTCCTGTCCCCCCATCTTCACCTCTCCTCTCCCCCACTTCAGAGAAACTGCTATGTTTATATTAGGGTTAATCCAGCCTCTAAAGTCTCTAGTGGCTGTCTCATTGACAGCCGCTAGAGGCGTTTGCGTGCTTCTCACTGTGAAAATCACAGTGAGAAGACACAAGCGTCCATAGGAAAGCATTATGAATGCTTTCCTATGAGATTGGCTGAATGCGCGCGCAGCTCCTGACGCGCATGCGCATTCAGCCAAAGAGGAGGAGAGCTTCCCGCCCAGCGCTGGAAAAAAGGTAAGATTTAACCATTTCCTCGCCATCCAGTCCGGTGGGAGGGGGACCCTGAGGGTGGGGGCACCCTCAGGGCACTATAGTGCCAGGAAAACAAGTATGTTTCCTGGCACTATAGTGGTCCTTTAAACATGCCACTGTAGTACCTATCCCCTCAATTCCTCAATTCCAACTCTCTCCTTGACCCTCTTCAATCTGGCTTACGGCCTCTCCACTCTACTAAGACAGCACTTATTAAAGTTACTAACAACATAATCACAGCTAAATCCAAAGGCCACTTCTCCATACTAATTCTTCTTGACTTCTCTGCTGCCTTTGATACCGTTGATCATGCTCTCCTTCTTCAAACTCTTCAATCGCTCGGTCTCTGTGACTGTCCTCTCGTGGTTTTCCTCTTATCTCTCCCAACGCTCATTCAGTGTCTCCTTTTCTAGTGACACCTCCTCCCCTCATCCTGTCTCGGTTGGAGTCCCCCAAGGCTCTGTACTTGGTCCCCTTATCTCCCACAATCCCGCACGCTGTTGACAGCCTCAGGGAGACAGGATGCGCGTTCACAGTGCCCTGTCTGCTGACAGCACAAGTCCCTCAGTTCCTAGCTTTCAATGTAAACATTGTATTTTCTCAGAAAATACAGTGTTTACATGAGAAAGGCTGCAGGGAGTTATAGTTCTCACCTTTACAACCCCATTAAGCTGAAGTTGTTCAGGTGACTATAGTGTCCCTTTAAGTTTATATGAGGTAAATTTATCTCCTGCAGGTGCTGCTTTTTTTTTATTATTATTGATTTTCTAGCCCTCAGCTGTCAATGGGTGTTATTTTAAGGAATTCAAAATCGTCTTTTGCCAGTGGCTTTTATTTTATTCTGGTTTTTTTCCTTTCTATCCTTCCTTCTCTTTCCTTCCCCTTTACTATTATTTTTTTTGTATTTAATACAGTCTAGCTGAGGAAATAATTTTTGGGGTACTGCTGTACCCTAAATGAGAAGATATTTTCCTTTCAACTCTTCTTTCCTCTCCTTTTACTGTTTTCCTCTTTCCCACTTTCTGTTTCTTTCCTCTTTTTTCTAAACAGATTTTACATACTGTTTCCTTTGGTAAGCCTTCTACAGTCTTTCTGAAACTAGCATTTTACATCCATATAAGCATATATAAGCTAAAACAAACAAGTACTTAAATGTACTTAAATTATTTATGTCAGCTAGTTGAGCGGATTTCTTCTTATGCTTATTCGTTTGGATTTAGTCCCAGATCAGCATGAAGCAATAACTATTCTCTCTCCAGCACACTGCCTTGTTCAGTTGGTCCCCTCTGTGTGTTTTATTTCTTTCATATATGCTGATGAGGATTTGATGCAAGACGTCTTGAGAATTTCTGAAGAATAAACCTGTGAATTAGAGAGGAAAAGGAGAACAGTGGAAGCACAGATAAATGAGGCAGTAAAGGGGGTAACCCTAAATGGAATGAAATATAATGAAAAGAAGAGAAACACTGCCCTAAATATATTACATTTAAAACGTAACTTTTATTTAGAAAGGTCTATAGAATAAAAGTGAAATATACAAAGAAAGTGAAAAATAAATAAATAAATAAATAAATGTTGGTTATAAAAACCTCAGTCTCCCACAAAAAGATTTGTAGGAAAATATACAGACAAATGATCGTGCTTACTGGCACAAAGTCTCAGTTAGCATGGTGAGAAACTAAACTTCACTTTAACATCCATTGTGAAGGATCTCAATATACCCTCAACCTCACAATCTATAAATCAAATTAATTCAAATGCTTTCGGTACGTCCCAACAAAAATTATACAGGTAAAGGCTGAGATAGCAAAAGATAGAAATCTCCTACAACCCCGACGCGCGTTTCGTATTTGTTAAATACTTTGGGTGATAGAGATCTGCTCTAGCCGTGACTTATATTTATTAGGGCATCTACTAGCTATCTACTTGCAGACTGACTAACAGCACAGTTTTTTATTCAGAAGCAGGTGCTTTCAAAGGCACAATAAGATTTGTTTCACTATACAGAGCAACAACATTTAACTTTCTGTATTTTGTGCAACAATATACTTTCTGTATCTTGTGTAAATCATACTGAGCGAATTATACACGTTAGCTAAC